ATAAATAATATATGATAGTAATGATTATGTATTTAACGAAATTGGGTGAATACATCTCATAGTAATGATTATGGCCTGAAGAAACTTATGTATCGTCATTCTTGTAGGCTCCAAATAAATTACAAATAAGAAAATTAACAAGGCAAACCATTTAAAAGAATTTCGTAAATCAAATAAATACAAAAAAGGTAAATGTGACATTAAATGATCAGGAAGCTTAAACACAATAACCAAAGAATCCTCACAAATTAATAAATTCTTAAATGATGAATTGAATGTAGAGCAAACTGGCACAAAGTAATCAATATGAACAGCTAAGCAACTTGATTCAAACCATGTTAAAGGATATATGGTATGCTCTTGGTAGTAGTAATATGCTTTGGCGCAGTTTTGTCAAGCGCACTAGCGCCGACCAGTGACAGGGGTGACGGATTAGTGTAGACTGGTAACTCGACTCACACCAATTAATAATCTACATAATCCAGAGACAAATGCATTTCAGACAGTAGTCATAAGCCATATCAGAGTAAACTATCAAAGCTGTTGAGGATACCTTAAATCGAGAGCGAGCTACTTTTATCAGTTCAAACTGTGTCCAGGTAATGAAGATCAAGTTGCCTGGCATATGAAAAGGGCAGCATAAGATTGCGGAAACCAATACATCAAAAGCTATGTATTGATATTTAATCGCATCTAGCAGTGGTCATAAAAAAGTGGGAATAACTTAACATTACGAGTTACAGACATTATTGAACAACACTGAACATTAGGATATGAGAGAACATTAAATATTCCTTGAGGAATTTTAATCGACATTTGAAGACATCGGACCAGATAAAAGTAGAATAATACTCCAATGGATTGGAAAGGGACAAACAACTTGATTTTCGTCAACATCGGCAATGAGCAAAGCATTTTAGAAAATTCCAACTTTAATAAAAGATTAAATATTTCCTCAAGAAAAGCAAGAGAAAAAAAATCAGAGGAGAAATAGAGAATTAGCTAAGACATAAAATAATAATGCAAAAGGCAAAGAAAACCTACTTGATAAGCTGAGAAGAATTGTTTGTCACAAATGTCACATTTAAAAAAACGCTGCCCAGTGTGTACATAGTAATGCCGTGTTAGGTTTCCCAGCCATTTGAATGGCTTTCGACAGGCAGGACAGTAGTATACTAGCTGGCCGTCAACCAGGCCAGAGGGAATGTCACCCTTCCGCCAAACATCTTTCCGTTTTAGGCAGATATGATGATGTAGGCTGTACTCGTTTCGGTAATACTTGCCACAACCATCGCAACGAAGCATTTTGCGGGAGTAGGCACCGTTACCATTGCCAATCCCGAGGCTACAACCATCATTTGAGTTAGCATGGCCATGATTTGACCAGGTTAAGATGTCTAGGCGAGCGGCGAAGGACATTGCGTTGGGTGAAGTGGAACCAATAGTAGGCCGTGTTCTGAGTGAGATCGAGGAGCTGCGAGAGGATACGGAGCAAGAAGATGAGGAAGATGAAAGTGAAGAATTATGGGCAGAAGAGAGATTAGGTGAGACAGATGGCTGTATTCCGAGATGGTTATTGACACCCGTACGTCTGTGGAGCAAACCAAGACCAGAAGACCGCGATGAGGCCGGAGGCTGCGAACCTGAAGAGAGGCCAATTAATGAGCGAAGGCTGGGAACAGATGTTCTATTGGTCTCGCGGGCAACTGAGCTGGGTAAGTTGCTATCGTAGACAAGAGAGGTAGTGGGTGAAGAGGAAGAAGAAGATATCGCAGAAGCTATGCTTATAGTAGTAGAGGTAGTGATTGCAGAAACATGAGGGAGACAATTTGATATGCAGGGAAGCTCAGAACTCGTGGCAGAGGAAATGGAAAGTGATGCAGAAGGAGAAAGGGGGGTTGAAGACGAAGAGGGAGAGGAGGAAGAGGAAGTTGGCGATGAGAGCTGTAGAGGTTGTCTAGAACAGGCAAGCATCGAGAGGGGTACTGGGCCACAAGAATTGTTCGGTAGGTGCGTGTTAGCCATTTTGAGACAACCCGTACCTGTTTGGTCTGAGCTAACCGGATTACCTACAGAAGGGGGTACTGGAGAATGGCATAAACTAGAAACCGACATGTCAGAAGGCAATTTAGATGAGATATTGGCAGACAAAGAGGATGAAGAGACAAGGTTAGCATCTCCAGCAGTCTAAAAAGGAATTTTTACGAGAATAATTGTCAGGTCATTAAAATTGTCAAAATTGGTACAATAATAAGATTAACAGAAAACAAATAGGTTGTAATTATCAGAGGTTTAAAATACATGGAGTCATATAAAAAAGAAAAATGAGGATTAAAAAGGAACAAGAACATCATCGTAGAACCAAAATGGCCCGGAGAAGAATAATTATGCTCAGTTAAGGGCATGATAAGTAAAATTTCCTAATTTCATAAATGCAGCATAAGGTCATTAAGTAATTATAATGGTCACATAGATGTATTTTGATTTATGCGAGCTAAATAAAAAGTAAAATGCTTTAGACTAAAGGGATGGAAAGAAAAGGAAAGGAATGCATACTTCGAACAAAAAAGAGGACGAGTTACAATGATAAAATTTGGCAAGTAACAAAAAATGAGCCATTGGACAGACATAATAAAAGGAATGGAAAATAAGAGATGAGTCACTCTTACATCTATTTCAGAAATAATTATATAGAGTACTAACGTGCTTCAAGATATTCTATCAACTCCAGGAAAGAGTGAAGTTGATTATAGTTGCATCCTAGATATACATATTCGTTTTTAAATTAGGAAAATCAATAACTCGATCTTGGAAAGCGCTGGGCTAAGCCTTGGTATCGCCATCATATCAAAGTCGTTCCATAAAATATGAGAAGAGCTAATGTTATCAAAAGGCTTGTTATGGCCATTTTATTGAATAAGGATTGTTGAAAAGTACCCCATGCGTGTTGGAAAATTGTGCTCAATCGGACCGATATAATTATTATTACAATTACAGATGAACTTAAATACTGGACTTTTGTTAATCATTTTACGAGATTGAAATGTATCAATCATTAAAAAAATTTGATGTAGATGTTTTAATGCCTCTTGTAAAACCCTAGCAGACCGCTTCTAAAGGATTATAGGTAGCATAATCAATTATTTTTACGGATCGAAAATACTCCCAAGTCTACTCGACTAGAAGCATCATCCCGTGGATATAGATAAATAGCATGTAATAGTCTATAAAATTGCATAGCCCTCTTTACAGCAGTGTATAGATAAAATCATTTAATGGCGAAATTAGTTATTCGAATGAATAATAAAAATATTTGGTCATATTGGTAGGAAGACTTAGAGGAACGCATCTAGTCCGGAGTCCATTGTATGCATGACTTTGTAAATGATCATGCATACAATGGACTCCGGACTAGATGCGTTCCTCTAAGTCTTCTTACCAATATGACCAAG